CAAGAAGCTTACAGCATGAAATATTGAAGAGACCAAACTGCTTAGGTTTAAAAAAAAATGGGCTCCACTGTTTACTGACACTATGACCTTGGGCAAATAAAAATTATCTAACCTTTTTGAGCCCCAGTTTTCCTATCTGTAAAACAGGGCAGTTAACGAGGATTAAGTAGCAAAAAATCAGTGGTTTTTAGCCTAATGTCTGACACATAGTAAGAACTTCGTAGTGTTAGCTGATAATAAGGACAACAATGATGACAATATCAGAAGCAAGGAGGGGACGTCACCAATCCATTAACTGAAGGAAGAGGGCCGTATGCTGTAAGGACCATACCGAAGTGCAGGTAAAGGCCTCTGAGCAGTTAGGGCTGTTACCTCAGGAGAAGTATCTGAGCCGCCACTGGGGGCTCAGAAAGAAGCTTCACCCAGAGACTGGGGGGAGGAGTGATGGCCAAGGAGAGCCACACAATCCCACCTACCAGGAAAAGGCATCCCCCCTCCCCTTCCCCATACCCTCAGCCACCTGCACAAGAGCCTCCTTGCAGGAGGGAAAGGGAGCAAAGGAAGCAGAACCTTCCCCTCCAGTTTAACAACTGGGGTCAAGGGGAGGATAGGGGAAAGGGGTCAGTCTCCAGAGGAAGGCCTCTCATGGTCCTCTGAAGAGCATGGAGAGGGAGGTGTGGGTGCTGTTCCAGGACAATCCGAGTCTGTCTTGGTCCCTGCCAGGAATGATGGGAATTCTGTACATTAACGAGACTTGGGATCCATGGGGCAGGGGCATGGGACTCCCACACATACCCTTTTTCATGTCCACACTCCACTGAGGAGGAGTACTGAGGGCAGAGTAGGACCTTTCTCTGCAAGCACTGGCCTGAGATGAGGTCTGAGCAATGGAAGCATCCCACCCCAGGACTCAGGACTAGTGGACTCAGAAATAACCCAGGAGAGCTGGGGAAAGTGTAGTGGTCAGTCCAGGTGGTGGCCAGTCGCAGATTTGGCCCAGAACAAGGTCCACTTACCCAGGCTAATGCTCACCCCTCAGCCCATTACAGGGCAGGCCCATGACCCTTCCCCAGCCCAGATATCAGGAGGGAGCGGGGGCTCTCCCCTCGGAATCCAGCCTCTTACATCATATTCTTACCCTGGACAGGATATCCTGTATTTACGAAGCGGAAAGTGTGGGGAGAAGAGGTTAGGTGGTTGGCCTTCAGCAGTAACATGAACTATTACTCCCCCCACCAAAAAAAAAAAAAAAAAATTCTTCTTAGCACCTTCTTAGAGTAGGATTATTTAGAAGTCAGTGGAAAGGGTGGGGCCAGAGCTGATTCCACGGAGAAGCCCTTTAAGGAGGAAGGAGACGTATGCCTGTACAATAAATCCAAAAATTCCAGCTCTGAGCTCTGGGACCCGCAGGTCTGGCAAGAAGAAAGTCTGCATTTGATGAGTCTCTCTTGCAGGGGCCAGATTTGAAAAGAAACCCCTAAACAAATGACGTGCAAAGGCCTCACCCCAAGTCTCTCAAGAAGTTGGCCACTTGAAACTCTCCGGTGCCTGGGGCTGTCGCCAAGATTAATGATAAACAAAAAGGAGTCACAGACCGGCAGAGCTGGGCCAACCTGCTCACGGTGCCACACCCCCCTCCCCAGTCCAAACGGGCACCGGCCCGGTTTCTCAGTAGAGGGTCCTCTACGAGAAGACAGAGGTGGGTTCCGCCCAAAGTTCCCAAGGGCAGCCCGGGGCCGTGGTCCGCTGGCTGAGTCACCGGAGGAGGAGACAGTGCAGTCACGGGAGACAGAGAGCCCAAGACAAAGATCCAGACACCCAATCTCGCCCCCCACCCCACCCCACCCCGTCCCCACTCTCACCCCCACCCACCCCCGATCAGACTGGCAGTATAAGGCCGGTGCGCGGGAGGAAGGGGCGGCAGGCTCCCTCTCCTCCATGATGGGCGTGCCTGTCTCTAAGGCCCTGCTCTGGGAGGGGCCGCCTCACACCCCCACAGACCACGGGGCTGCATGTGACTAGGGCTCTGGCACGGCCCTGCGCCCCCGCCCAACCCCGACTACATAGCTCTTCGGGCTCCCTCGCGGGAAAAAGGTACCGACCGTCACTCAGAGTCACAGACCACAATTACCCGCGGAGTGTTTAGTGGGCAGGGGTACAAGATAGGTTTCACGGGTGGTGGGAGGGGGCCTTAAAGGTTATTGTGCGCATGCGCATAGGCTCCTTATTGTTTCCCCACCCACCCAGCACCAGCACCGTTTCGGGGCGGCGGCCACAATTAAAATGTTTGGGGAGGGGGCAATTACTTCATCTCAACCTCCCACCCCCAAATATAAATCCAGTTTTCCAGGACCCTCAGAGCACAGGCTCCTTTCCTACGTCTTCCATGCCCGTCTACCCGGGTTCGTGCCAGTTTTCCCCGGCTCTGCCACACCTATGGCGCCCGCCCACTCGTGCCCCACTGCCCCGTGGCCCGCGCAGCCTCTCCCTGCCCTGCCCTGCACTGGCCCGCTCACCTTGCGGTCGTTAACTCCCTCTCCCACAGCGATCACCACGCCCGCGCCCTCCATGCCTGGAGTGAGGGGCAGCGGCGGCAGTCGGTCGTACAGCCCCTGCCGGGCCATAAGGTCGGCGAAGTTGAGCCCGCAGGCCTTGACGCGCAGCGTCAGCTGGCCGGTCCCGGGGGCCGGGGGAGCGGCCGGCCGGGTCTGCAACTTCACCTTGTCGTAGCCACCGAAGCCGGTGAGCACAAGGCAGCGCAGCGGCGGCGGCGAAGGGGCGACGGGCCCCTCGGAGGCCGCGGGCGGCTGGGCGTCACCGGCTGCCTCCTCCGCCTTCGGGAGCTGCGAAGAGGCATCTTCTCCAGCCCCTGCCTCGGCCACCGCCACCACGGTGGCCGCCTCGGCTACCTCTCTCTCGGCGGACATGGCTGGGACGCTCGACGTGCGCGCACAGCTGGACCGAGAGTGCACCGCTGGGGAAGGCGGGGCGCGAGTCAGGACTTGCTAAGGCTGCGGACTCCGAGCGGGCGGGGCGGGGCGCCGGGACGGGGGCGGGGCCTCGAGCGCGGACTTAAAGGGCCAGGGCCACCGTGCAGGTGCGGCGCGAGCGCGAGAAGTGGAGAGGAGGCGCTTATTGGGTACGGGCCCACGCGAGGTCCTTCTTGGGATCATGAAGACTGCGGGTTAATTTACTTATTTATTCATAATAATTAAGCTAAAAATATATTAAGGGACAATCTGAAGGACGATCCCAAAACCTGAGCTTACATCAGATGTGGGGAGCCAGCCACCTGTGGAGCGGAACCCAACCGAGTTGTTCCTCAGGCTCTGACACGACCCATATGAGACCCATTCTTTGCTTGCAGTGGCAAACTTGGAGCAGGGTGACCGAGCCATCTGACTTTGTTAAAGCTCTGTACTTCAATTGTCCTTTCTGTAAAATGGTGATGGTGTTGCTTGCTCTAATTAATCTAATTGATCTTCGGATGCTGTGCTCATCTGCTTCGACATTAGCCGACCAGAAACACTGGACAGTGTCCTCAAGAAGGTGGGAGCCTAGGGAAGCAGGACGGCTAGACTGAGGGGGACCAGAAAACACATGGGCCAGGAGGAGGGAATTACAGCTGAGCATGGCCATCACGGAGAGTGTGTGTGAAGCTCTCACCCTTCCCAATCCCCCCCTGACTTCCTGGAAATCAGTCCTCAGAGCTGGATATGACATCTGGGGGGGATGGGGGACAACAGGGAGGAGTACTCGAGGGACTTCTCGTCCACCCTCCCCATCTCCTTGGATGTGGGAGCCCCAGATGGAGGGGATAGGAATGCTGCTGCTGGAGCTCAGGAAAGCCCTGCGGTCTCCTCTCCAGGCCCCTATCTCCATGAGAAAAGCCCATGGTGAATGGACAGAAGTCGGCTAAGGCAGCCCCAGTTCCCAGGGAGGGGAAGGGAGGGCGGGATTGGTCTGTTCCCAGGAGCAAATTTGGGAAAGGGGATGGCAGACCCTTCATGGCCACTGAGGTAGAAGCAGGGCCCCACCCCTGCCCTCTCCTCCCTTCCCTTCTCCCACACCCTTCCTGCTTTCAGCCCAAGCCCACCACTCTCACCTCCTTGCTTACTTACATGGGAGAGCCCAGAGAAGTGCATGGTAAAGATAAAATTAAATCGAGTATCCTCTATTTAAAGAAGCGCTTTTAAACGGTAAAAGATGCCATGCAAATGCAAAACAGAGGTTTGATTATTGTTAGACTCCGAATCAAGCCTGAAATCACTTTAGAGCTTGTCTCTGGCTCCAGAAGGGCTGTCACCCTGGGCAGTTCTATCTTCCTCTTCTTTGTCCCCGTCTCCGTCTCCCCGAAGCATCCACCAGAGGACGCAGCTTCCCCAAAACTTTCCACCCTGCGCTTGGCTGGAGAAACTCTGTCCTTGCTTCCCTGATCGCCCGTGCCCGCGGTTAAATCACCGCAGCCCCAGGCCAGGCCGTCCGTTGCCATGGTAACGGAAAGCCAGGGCGTCACCATTGTCCGGGTGGGTGTGTTGGAGTCCTTGCCTATACATCCCCAAGACTCCCTGCCGGGACTTTAGAGTAGGGGAGGGAGACCGAACCAAAAAGACGCCCTTTTTCCCCCTACCTTCTCGCGCCCCCTTCTGTTCAGAAAGTGGATGGCTTCCCCCGCGCGTGTCCGCACTAGCACACCGGCGTTCACGCGTGGTACGCAGAAGGCCCAAGCCTCGCGCTTGTGCAGCTCCCACCCTACCCCTCAGAACTTTCCCCGAACTCTGCCCCTCCCCCATCGCTAGGGAAGTCAACTCAGTCTAATAACCCGGTTCAGCACGTCCCAAACCCGCAGGGGCCCACTAGACCAAACCCGCGCGCTAGAACCTTTCTCCTGAGCCCCAGTTTCCCCGGGGCTCCGCCCCGCTCCTCTGGGCCCCGCCCCCAGGCAGTGCGGGGCGGGAGGCGGGGCCGGGGGCGCGGCCGCCGGGCTGGGGGCGGGGCGCAAGGGGGGCCGAGGCCCCGGGCGGGGGCTCGGCGCGGGCCCGAGAGATGCCGGTGTCGGCGGCCCGAGCGGCTGCAGCTGCAGCGGCGGGGGAGGCGGCAGCGGAGCTCGGGAGGGGGGCTGCGCGGGGGGCCGGCGCGTAGCCGGGACTATGGAGGGGCAGAGCGGTCGCTGCAAGATCGTGGTGGTGGGGGACGCGGAGTGCGGCAAGACGGCGCTGCTGCAGGTGTTCGCCAAGGACGCCTACCCCGGGGTGAGGAACCGGCGTCTTGGGAGGGGGGCGCTGAGGCCGCGGGGGTGGGTGACTGGGGCCTGGGGGACGGACGGAAGTGGGTGCTGGGGTAACCAGGGATCAGAGAGGGGCTTGGAGGACTGGGGAAAGCGTTGGGGTTTCTGAAAGGACTGCAGAGGTTTTGGGTGGGAGGCATTGGGGAGCAGGGTGAGATGAATGGGGTTTGGGAGAACCGGAGGATCCCGGAGGGGGCGCTAGGGGAATGTCGGGGGTCTTGGGCATTGGAGAGGGGAAGAACTAGGGCCTGAAAGGACCGGGAGGGGGTCCGGGAGCCTAGCAGAGATTACGCTGAGGCAGCTGCTCCCGGGATCTCCCCTTTGCCCAACACCGGACCAACTTGTGTCCTCGGGCTGGGCTGCACGGGGTGTGGGAATGAGGAGGGCATTTGTCTGGGGTGAGCACTGGAGGATCTCATCTTGAGCCATTCGTGTCTGCAGAGTTATGTCCCCACCGTGTTTGAGAACTACACCGCGAGCTTTGAGATCGACAAGCGCCGCATTGAGCTCAACATGTGGGACACTTCAGGTAGCCAAGTCCCTCGGGGTCACCCTGACTTCCAAGGCCCCCACCCTGCTCCCTCCCTGGACTAGACCCTTAGGCTCCAGGTCAACCCAATCCATCCATCCTATTCTAGGAGGAAGGAAAATTAATTTTCTGCTTAAAGCCAGGAAAACTAGGCAGAGCTTTCAGAGACACATAGGAACCTTGCCCTGAAGGAGAAAGCCCAGTATACCATCCCCTCAGCTCCACTCTGCATACCTGGGAAAGTTGGGAAGGAATGGCTTTTATTTTGGAACATGTTTCTTAGGAGATAGGGCTGGGTTTAGGAAAGACATTTAGAATTTCTTTCGGGGGCAGGAAACTGCTTCTCTAGACTGAACTATAGAAATCTGAGATCAAGCCCCGGGAGGGTGGGAGGGCTCTGCCCCTGCCCCTTCCCCTACAAAAAGGGAGGGATTTTTTGTTTTGTTTTAAATTTTTACTTGGCTCCCCTGGAGAGCTTTAGAAAATGTCTGTCAAAGCCCAGAAAGCACATGCAAAATTTTGTGAGAATGTTGAGAGATTTCATGAGCTTCTCAAAGACTCAGAAAAGATTAAGAATGATTACTTTTAGAGAACCCCCTAGGGAAGTGGAGAGCTGTTTTCTGCCATCTAACCTCCCCTCTGTCTACTCCCTTCCTTGGAGAAACACAGACTCCTTGATGGGTATTAATACCTGCTCTTTTCCATTCTCTGCTCAGAGTCCCTTGACCAGGATTGCTAAGGTCTCCCATTCCCTTCCAGGCCTTCTGCACACTCAGGACCCTCGTCTGTCCCCCCCTCCCTGTCTTCTCTCAGGTTCCTCTTACTACGATAACGTCCGGCCTCTGGCCTATCCTGATTCGGATGCTGTGCTCATCTGCTTCGACATTAGCCGCCCAGAAACACTGGACAGTGTCCTCAAGAAGGTGGGAGCCTAGGGAAGCAGGACGGCTAGACTGAGGGGGACCAGAAAACACATGGGCCAGGAGGAGGGAATTACAGCTGAGCATGGCCATCACGGAGAGTGTGTGTGAAGCTCTCACCCTTCCCAATCCCCCCCTGACTTCCTGGAAATCAGTCCTCAGAGCTGGATATGACATCTGGGGGGGATGGGGGACAACAGGGAGGAGTACTCAAGGGACTTCTCGTCCACCCTCCCCATCTCCTTGGATGTGGGAGCCCCAGATGGAGGGGATAGGAATGCTGCTGCTGGAGCTCAGGAAAGCCCTGTGGTCTCCTCTCCAGGCCCCTACCTCCATGAGAAAAGCCCATGGTGAATGGACAGAAGTCGGCTAAGGCAGCCCCAGTTCCCAGGGAGGGGAAGGGAGGGCGGGATTGGTCTGTTCCCAGGAGCAAATTTGGGAAAGGGGATGGCAGACCCTTCATGGCCACTGAGGTAGAAGCAGGGCCCCACCCCTGCCTTCTCCTCCCTTCCCTTCTCCCACACCCTTCCTGCTTTCAGCCCAAGGGCACCACTCTCACCTCCTTGCTTACTTACATGGGAGAGCCCAGAGAGGTGCATGGTTTCTGCGTGCTGTGAGGAAGGATTCACCCCGTGCTGCCTTCTGCCCCCACGTAACTCTGTTTTCTTCCTCCAAATAGTGGCAAGGGGAGACTCAGGAGTTTTGCCCCAATGCCAAGGTTGTGCTGGTTGGCTGTAAACTAGACATGCGGACCGACCTGGCCACACTGAGGGAGCTGTCCAAGCAGAGGCTTATCCCTGTTACACATGAACAGGTGGGACCCTTGATCTCTGACCTAGTCCCAGCCTAGACCTCTCACCTCTGCCCCTCTCAGCCTCTGATTTGAAAACACCCTATTTGGCTAATCCCTTGCCCTGGCCTCTGACCTGATCCCTTGACCACCCCCTGCCCTCAGCTTCCCTGCCCCTTGCTGAGCTGCAGGCTATAAGCCCTGTAACTCTCTCCACTCACTCCATCCTTCCAGGGCACTGTGCTGGCCAAGCAGGTGGGGGCCGTGTCCTACGTGGAGTGCTCCTCCCGGTCCTCTGAGCGCAGCGTCAGAGATGTCTTCCACGTGGCCACAGTCGCCTCCCTCGGCCGGGGCCATAGGCAGCTGCGCCGTACTGACTCACGCCGGGGACTTCAGCGATCTACTCAGCTGGCAGGACGGCCAGACCGGGGAAACGGGAATGGGACCGGAAACGAGGGCGAGATACACAAGGATAGAGCCAAGAGCTGCAACCTCATGTGAAGGGCCCCGTGGGCAGACTGAGGAGGGAAGGTGTAGGCACAGTTGTCCCCCTGCTGGCCCCCGGCCTCCTGACCTCCTGACTCTGCCTGGGACTTTAGGGTGGGCGAGTGAGCAGTTCTCCTGGGCAGGGAAGCTGGAGGCAGAAGGGTACCGCCATTCCCCACATCCTCATTCAGCTCCTCTCCAAGGCAAGTTGAGGGAACTAGCAGAACAGGCATCTGGGCTGGGAGCTGGGATGGGGCCAGGGGGTTGGGGAAGCTGGCATCAAGCGGTGACCTTGGTTGAGTCTCAGTATATGAAGGGTGCCTTCCCTCCCCACCTTCAGTTCCCATATCCTGGTCCTGGCTTCCTTCCCCAAGGAAAGTGTCCATTCTCTGACCTTCCCTCTTCCTCTCCTCTCACTTCTACAGCTATTCTCACTCATCCTAACCTCCAGGCAACATGCACTAAATTAAAAAGCAAGTTGAGAAGCCTCTCCCCCGATTTACCCACCAGTCTTAGCTCCCTCCCTCCCTTCCCCCAAGAGTCCCCAAATAAAGCCCATGTCCATGGAAAACGACTGTGGCTTTAGTTTTGTTGCTTTCTAAAAAAACAATCTACCAGTCTCTAGCAGCAGGAGGGAAAGCTAGACTTCAGTAAGAACTTCCCTGTCGATGCCCACAGACGGAGCAGAGGAAAAAGCTATGGGTTGGATCAGCAGTGTCCTTTTCGGAGCCAGAGGCGGGAGAGAGAGATATCTTGGGAATATTCATGTCAGTTAATGAGCCAGACAATCCTAAAGCCGTTAGGGGGTTTTAAAGTGGACTGATGTGCATTTCATTACTCAGCCCAACTGGGGCCCCCTGCTAATGTGGGAAGGATCCGGCTGAAGTGGTCCAGGCCCCTTGCTCACCATGTCCAGCCCCAACTTGGAATCTGCTGGTGCCCTGGGAGCTGTGGGTGTAGGGAGGGCATCAAAAGCCTCCACATCAGGGTGACCCTGTACAGAGTGGTTTCCCAAGGGAACAGTAGTTTGATTCTGGGGTCTCCTTGGAGGCTGGGGCAGGGGCTCTCTCCCTCTTTCCATCCTGAGCTCCTTGATGATTTTGGAGGGAGCACAAGATGTGAGTTGAGGGTCACACCTCCCCAACCCCCTACAGAAGGAAAGACCGTGGAGGGGCCGGCCAGAGCACTTGTTGTCTGGAAAGACAGTGCTGGTCTGTTTTCTCCGGAGTCTGGTTTCACATTGTCCTGTATTCCCTCCCTGGCTCTGATCCCACTGGCCTCTTTTCGGTGACATTCTCCCCCAGGAACCATCCGTGGCTCTCCCCTCCCCCAGCCCCAGCCAGTTCTTCAGACACACTCTGGGAGAGAACACAGACCTTACCCTCCCATCTGCTGGGATCCCCACCTAATTCACAGCCCATCTTTCCCTCATTCATTCAGCAAATGTGTACTGAGCACCAACTGTGTGCCAGACACTGGCTTGGGATTCTGAAAGGACCAGTCTCTGTGCTCTGGAGGCCAGCCCGGTGGGGAAGAGAGGTACCCCAGGTGTGATGGTTCCTTGGTTGTGGAAGCTCCTTACAGCCTCAGAAGCCCATCCTCTGAGCCAGGTCCTTGAGGGTTGAAGAGGAGTTTGCCAGGCAGGGAAGGGGCGGGAAAGGCACTCTGAGCAGAGGGTACAGCATGTGCAAACACGTGGAGATGAGGAAGAGCATGGCACCACTGGGGCTGCCATGGCAGGAGGGCGGAAGACAAGACTAGGAAGGTACAGGGAGGCCGCTGCAGGGCCCGCAAGGGAACCAGGGCTTCATTCTGAGGATGTGAGGCAGCATGAGGGATTTCAAGCAGAGAATGAAGGGACCAGATTTGGTTTTTGGATAGATGGTTATCCGGATGAGGTGATGGGGGGCTGGGGTGGGCGTGGGGTGGGGGGCGCAGGGAGGGTGTCTAGGGGGTTTGGCTCTGTGATGTGTCATTTAAAATAGCGTCTCCCTCGGGACTTCCCTGGCGGTTCAGTGGTTAAGACTCTGTGCTTCCACTGCAGGGGGCACGGGTTCAGTCCCTGGTCAGGTAAACTAAGATCCTGCATGCCAGGCAGTGTGGCCAAAAAATAAACAAACAAATAGCTTCTCCCTTCCCTATGCCAGGGTCCAGTCTTGAGAGGAAAGGAAATCCCCACCCACTCCTGGCTCATCAAACACTCCTTATCCTCCCTCTTCCTCCAAGACCCTGTCCTGGTCCATCTCAGCCAATCTCCTCAAGGATTCTGGGACAGCTTCAAAGGCACCGGGCACCCTACCCTCTTAAACTGAGACCTGGTTAGGGGCTGACTCCAGGATCCTCTGCAAGGATACGGAGTCCTGGATTGAGGGTGCTGGAGAGCGCTGGGGCTCAGCTAGGCGGACCTCAGTCTGGTCCCAGAGGCCTGACCCTTCCCCCACAGGGGCCTGATATACCACTGTCTTGGGATTTTGTCTGTGGCTTCTCATCTCCACTTTGAACTTTGGTACAAACCAGGCTCAAAGTACGGAGTGTTTGCACCCCCTCTCTTCTCCCAACCTCCCTCTCCTGCCATGCTCAGGGAATGCAAACACATTTCAGTATTTGCCTAAAACAAACATAATTAGGAAGATAAATCAGCTGGAGGAATCCCTAAAGTTTATAATACATTTCCAGTACCACCGGGAACAGATATTGGTCCCCTCTGCAGGTCTGGGTTGCCAGACGTTTTATTTCCTCTACAGAGGGGTCTGTGCCTCTGGGCTGAGGAGCCCAAAGGGTGAGAGGAGGGAATAGGGCTGCTCCTAGATCCTCAAAGGCCCCTGCAGGCTGGAAGGAGGGGACCTTCCCCTCACCCCAGATGCAGGAGTCAGACCCAGCTTCCTCCTCTGCAGCTGTTTCCCCCACAAATTGGACACCCCTTTGGGAAACAATGTAGCCTCGTTAATCATTTACTGAAATAAACAACTAATCACATTGTGTTGCCGCCAGTGTTTCTTAACCTCAGCAATCAGCCTGCCCTGGAGGGAGGAGGCGCAAGGAAGGAACGGGGTGGGGGCGGGGACTTGGCCTAACACCTGACATGCTGCAGCTGACAGAGGGTCATCCCCTTATGACTCCAGCCTTTCCAGGAGGGACAGTCATGAAAAGCGCTTAATATTTGGAGGCAGAGGTCCGAGGGCCTGGGTCCTAGCTCTGCTGCTTCCTCCCTGGGGAGCCTTTAGTGAGGCCCTGCAGGCATCTGAACCTCAGTTTTCATACTTGGAAAAGGGAGCTGATTGCCACATCTGCCTCACTGTGTTGCTGAGGAGGATTCAGAGAGGAGAAAGGATGTAGAGAAGTTGTTTGACCCTTTAAAGGGGGCTGAACTGATACCGACCTTTATTCTTTACAACTTGCACATCCAGGCTTGAGTGCCTCTGAACTGGGCCTGATGGAATAAGGAAAGGCTTCTTGGAGAGGGCCTCTTGTGCTGGGATTCAGACTGGAGGAAGGCCAGAAGACAGGAAGGGGCAGGTCAGGTGTCTCGTCCCCATACCTATCCTGAGGGCTAGAGAGAGAGGTCTAGTGACTCCTCCAAAGGACATCCTTTGGTCCCCCATTTTTCTGAACTCCCCCCATTACCTTTTCTGAAGTCTGGGTGAGGGCACCAGGTTGCCATAGCGACCCCACTCCAGATACACGCAGACTGGTCCTGCAGGCTGTGGGAGGTGGGGGGAAGGGGTCATGTCCCGCAGGTTCCTGGTGGACACCAGGACCCTGGCAGGCAGTCCTGGTACAGCTGTCCCCTACACTACTCTCTCTTCCCCAGGAAAGGGGTTCAGCTCTTCTGAGTATCCCCCCCCTCCCTCTCTGCCAACAAAGGAGTTTCTTCTACACAGTGCAGCCCCTCTCCCTCCTTTCCCCCTTTCAGCTGGGTTCCCAGGTCTCTCTCCATTTCTAGCCAATCCCCTACTCCCTCTCCTCAAGGCTGGGGGTGAGGGTCAGAGAGAGGGGAGGCACCAGGTCCAGGCATGTGGGGTGATTCCCAAGCAGCTACCCGCCGCCTGCAGCCAAAGAGACAAGAGGGACACGTACATAAGTGCCCCTCCCCCCAAGAAAATGCCTCTGCTGTTGACTCCTAAATAACAGATGTCTGTCTGCATATTAATGAGATTGGACGAATAATTGGTGAGTTTTTCATTCAGTGTCAGAATGAACCCAGAGGCCTTATGTTCATGCACACAGACACCCACTCACTGACTCTCCCCTTCCCCCAGAGCACAATGAGACAGAGGCAGTGGCTGGCAAGCTTGAACCACAAAGGGGAGGGGCAGACAGGGAAGTGGGAGGGGGCGTCAGGAGGAGGGAGACTGCCACCGTCTGGGTCTGTCAGGTTTCTCCCTCTTGCCTGCTATCTCCCCAGTCCCCCACTCCCACCAGGGGCAAAAGCTTGCATTTGTGCGATTTCACCACCATGCAGAAGGGGCCCAGAGGAAGGTGGGAGCCTGAAGGTAGGGAGGGGGGAGGCAGGTGCTGCCCAGAGGGGAGCAACAAAGCAGTGGCCTCCTTCAGCAAGGGTGTTGCCTCCCATGAGCCTGGAATCAGGGGGCCCTTACCCTGCTTAGCCCCTGCGCCAGGGTGTGAGGTGGGTTTTGAATCAGATAGCTGCCATCTGCCAGCTGAGTGCTCTTGTGCAAATTACCCAACCTCTCTGAGCCTCTCATTTTCCCATCTCCAAGAACACCACCTTGCAAGACTGAAAGGAAGAAATGAGATAAAATGTGTCATGTGTCTGTCTTAGTGCCTGGTTTACAATAGGCCCCCACACATATTTGTTTTCTCCCCACCTATCCCTAAAACACACCAAGACAGTTTCAAAATTGCTGCCTCTCCTGCCAGACACACGCTCGTTAGGGCAGGGGCGAATTAGAAGTTTAGTAATTATCCCGGCTGCCTAGAAACCTGGGGGTAAAGATACAGAGAGGAGCAGGAACAGAGAAAGAGATTAGATAGACAGAGGAGAGAGAAGTGATGGAACCCAAGGCCTGGAACAGAAGGATAGACCACAGAGACACAGAGCCGCAAGCTGGGAATGGAGAAGGTACTGCAAACAGTGGAGTGAGCCCTGGAGTGACAGTCTAGAATCTACACTGTGGATTCCAGAAGCCCCGGCTCTGCCATGCTCACTGTTTGACCTTAGCAAGTCTCATCCTCTCTTAGCATCTTAGTCTCCTCATCTGTAAAATGAGGGGTTGATTTGCTCTCTGGGTCCCTTCGCACTGTGTGAGAACAGGAGTCCCAGGGCAGCGGGTTGGTGGGGGGAGCAGGGGAGAGGAGGCGGGATCGCCCCCGCCCCCCCCAGCAACTTACTATGGCCCATCGGTCACTCTTGCTCTGTGTCCTCCCTCCCTTGGTAAATAGATCTGCTGCGCCAGCAAACAACTGTCCATTGTGTCCTAATGAGGGACGAGCAGGGAAAACCAATCACTTATGATGCAAATGAGCGGCGGCTGTGGCCTCCTTGCTTTCACTGAGTGCCTCTCTTCAGCGCTGCCCCAGTTGGGCCTTTCTCCTTAGCCCCAGTTCCCA